TGTAATTCGCCCTGCATTGTGCCATATGCACTGCTTTGGTAATATAATCATTAAAAGATAAAGACTTGGAATATAAAATGCCCAAGTCCTTGATTGCATCCGGTTCCTTTAGCTCAACACCCTCGAATGAAAATTTGGGAGACGAGGGGCAGTTGGAACCCAGTCGGAGGGCAACCGTTTTCTCCGGAGAAACTGCAAGTCCCCATTTTTTAGCCCAATCTGCTATGGCATCAATAGCAGCTTGCATTAGGACAGGTTCCCTGTGCAGTACACCTTGACATCGTCCGCATACATGGAACATTGCACACCTGATGGAATACATCCTGGCAAATCATTAATGTACATAATAAACATCAGTGGACCTAAACAAGATCCTTGAGGAACACCACTCTCCGTTCGGTATAATCTAGAGCAAGTTCCGTTAATCACAACCCTCTGATGCCTATCAGAAAGAAACGCCTTCAAAAAATCGAAAAGGCATCCCGTAAGTCCAAAGCTTTTTAATTTGGAAAACAAGTGACATAAAGGAATGGAATCAAAGGCTTTGGAGAAATCTATGTAGACAGCGAATACAGATTCTTTTCTATCAATGGTGTACTGCCAAGCTGGGACAGTAGAGAGAAGCGCCGAAGCCGTAGACCTTTTGGGGAGGAAACCATGCTGGCAAGGCGACAAAAGATTTTTACACAGAAGAAATTTCCTAATTTGCTCACACACAATCCGTTCCATTACCTTGCTAACTGAAGAGGTTAGACATACGGGCCTGTAGTTTTTGAAATCATTCTTACTACCTTTTTTGAATATCGGCCTAACAAGACCCAAGCGCCAGATTTCCGGTACTGTCCCTTTCAAGAGTATCCTGTTGAAGAGGAGTGTAAGAGCAGGAGTGATCCCTTCTGCAGCTTTTTTGAGAAATATATATGGTAAACCATCCGGTGACGTAGAGCATCGAAGCGGAAGCTTGCTGAGGACTCGAAAAACATTTTCATAATTAATATCCACCCAGTCGAGTTTGTTTGCCGGTATACTCCCACTCCAATTTGTTAGTGAACTCTTCTTTTTATAGAATGTTTCAAAATGGGTTGCAAAAACTTCAGCTTTATCGCTATCGGTTGTAAGTGTTGCACCAGACGGTGAAGTGATGGCATTAATTAAACCGGATTCTTTTAGTCTAGCGTTACAGTAACTCCAAAACCTTCTCTTATTCCTAGAGCATGCAATGCGCTCCTCGTGCTTCAGTTCAAGTTTTGCTATTTTCTTTTTGAGTAAGCGAGTAATGTAAAGATAACGTGGACTATGCAGATGATTTCCACGCTTGAATAGTCGCTGAACTCGAGCCTGAAGATCTTCTATGTAACGAGGAAGCCTTGGTGCATTCATGTTTGTGTAAGCTTGTGGAATAAATCGGGAAATGAGAGAATGACAAAAATCAACAAAACTGAAGTAGCAATCATCAATACTTTCCATGGAGTCAAAGACAGTACGCCATTCTATTGCAAGGAGTTCATTACAGATAGATATATAGTATATATAGAAGAAGATGGAATATCTAACTGTGTCACCTGACCTAAACCCCCTCAATTTCGGGCGGAGTTCAATAGGGTGGTCTACAGTGGCGGAGAAATCAACTATCTCGCTGAACTCAGGCACCGAATCACGGTCGCGTGGCAGAATCTCTCGATGGCGCTCGTCCAGAAGGCTGTGGCGGAGTGTCATGATAGTATTTAATATGCTGTTAATATGGTGGTAGAAATGTCCGATCAGAATTTAATAAAGTGTAACTTATAGCGCCTCGAAAGTCAATGAAGAAAAGTGACTTTTTTGCCCCCCCCCCTGTATACTTTCCTAGTTGCTCAAAACGCTGCCGTACGCTCGGAACTTTCAAAAGCCTCACGTAAAGTATGAACGTAGCCTACTCTGGAACCAGTTATTTTTGTTCATGAACGCAATGTAAACACTGGGCTTCCACGCCAATCCGTGAACCGCCGTAACAACAGAATTCAGTTAGGCCGCGTTCATGCACTGCTCCGTTTTTCTTATATCTTCTGTGCACGTATGCCTTGCGTTTTCTGAAACGTTCTGGAAAGCGTGTTACTTCCTGAAGTGTTGTATTCTGCTATGTTTCCCACTCAGTCGCGTTCGTTGGAGATTCTTTACGGCGGTTCAACGACTGGCGGTGGAGCGCCCCCGGTCGCAATCGCGCGATCCAGTCGAGCGATTCGATAGCGAAGTATGAACGCCTTACAAAATGAGCAAAATACCTGTAGAAAAGGATGATTGAAAGCAGTGCCTTCTGCTTTTAGACTGTCCGCCCATTTTGCGCAGATGGTATTCAGCGAACCCGTCACTACCATCAATATGGAGATGGCCAGAGCAAATGCTCTTCCGCTGGTTTCGGTCATCCTGAAATACTGCGCCTTTAAGAAAAAAATGAAATGAGGATAGATGAGGATTCACAGTTTTGGAACGATAAACGAAACGAACTGGAACGAACGAACGAGCCCAACCACAGCAAGTCAAAGAGCAGCTAACATCCAAGTTCCTCACTTAATGGCAATTTTAGAATAATTACTTGAAATTTCAATATGTTCAGTGGAAAACTAGTAGGAATGAGCTGATGAATAGCGAATAGAGAAAGCGCTGCGCATTCGGTGTAAACAACAACCACTCGTAACAATGAATGTTCATAAAAAGAAGTGCAAACGTAGCTGAGGAGGGGAGGGCAGCGGCACCGCGTCTACAACCTTTCTAGCCGAGGCTCAGACCCATAACGGTGTTGGCGACCAGAGCAGCCTACCAGTCTCGCACAACAGACAGACCAGTTGCTATCCCTCCCCTCTATGTTCGCATCAAAACGGTTGCTGCTATGTGCTCAAAACGTCTAAAATGGATGAAGAAGAAAATGTCTAAAAAAGGAATAAAAGTAGGTGGATAATTTTAGCCGTCCAAGATTTTTATAATTTATGATTTATTGGCCAACGTTTCGGCTTCCTCGCCTTCGTCAGGGCCTGAAGAAGTC